TTCCAAGTCAGTGTCCTAAAGAAAATCTGTATAAAAAGGCACTGTGCCCATAAAAGTCAGACGTGGGACAAATAACCAATCAGCGGTATTGCCAGTAGGTTCACTGCAACTAATATTTTCCATTTTACTGATGTACCTTGCCATGGTTTGCACTGTGTCGAGGCAGCCATCATGGTAGAGGATCAGGGCTTTATTAGAGCTGGCCGCCCTATGACTGGACATCTGATAACTGGTGGAGGAATCATTGAGAATCAGCAGAAACAGTGGAGAAGCACAGATCAACAGAAAGACTCAGAAGCAGGGAGATCCTTGCACTGCAACTTCTCAGTTACAGCTTCCTCTCCAGCAAGGGGAGGAAAAAAAAAAAAAAAGAAAAAAGAAAAAGTGAGCAGCACAGTAATGGCATCAACAAACCTCCCACCAAAATGTGTTTAGACAAGCAGTCAGAGCTGCAGTGCCTCGGATGATCTCACACTACAGATATAAGGCACAGGAGGTGCACTGCTATTTTTAAAAGGAGAGATTATATAAAGCTATATATTCCATATACTGCTTAGGCACAAAATATTATATCTCTAGAGGTTTCCTATGAAATAAAACATCTACACTTTGAATTCAGGTCCACTTTAAGTGGTGAAGCCAAGGCAAAGAAGACCTCACTGGAACAGGCAACTAAATGCAGGGCAACCATAAATAAAAACACATAATAATGAATACAATGGTTAAATGGTGAAATGAGGTTCTGTCTCTTGACAAATCTTAAGTCTGATGCAAAGTTATGAAATTTTCCATTACCAAATGTGGCCATTTTTTTTTTACAGCTACCGTCTTCCAATTGGCCAGACTCAGCCAGGGAATAGAAAGAGGAAGCCTTGTTAACAGACAATGCTGGCAAAATATTACAGAAAGTTTCATAACATGCAACAAACGGATTAATACCAGATTTCTAGAGGGAAGGGGCCTTTTCCAAGCAATGGCTGGTGATGTTCCAATACTGAGTGCAATGTCACCATCTGCTGTCAGAAAATGAATATGACAATCGTGTACGTAAAAGAACAACCTGTCATAGGGACAATACAGAGGTGGTCATTGTTGACCTTGCCTAAAATGCTAGCCTCCTGGCTGCCAAGTTGTTCCAATGACTTCACGGAGGAGCAAGCATGCCAATTAGGAGTTCTGACTTTACTTGCGGAATGCTTGCTCAGAGTCAGCAGAGAATAACAGCTGCAACCTCCACCTTTCAATCATGAGAGGTCTCCTTTACAATTCAGATGGTATACGTTTTGGAGAACCACTACTTTTAAAAGTCTAAATGTATTTTTCTGTAGGTTTGACATTTATGCTTCACTCTGTATACACTTTTCATATGCAAATTTTGCAACTGACATTTTTACCCGGGAGTCCCTTCTGGTAATAGCGCCTCCTGTTGCAGGACAATTCTAAGGTTAGCCATAGATGGATTGATTTTCAGCCGGTCTTTGCTGAACTGGCTGAGATTCGATCCATCTATGATGGACTTCAGAAAAAACAGCCTTTTGGATGTTTCAGATATGATCACTGCCGGCGGCTATAGTTGCTAGCAGTAATAATCGTGTTCTGCCGGCCGGCAAGGCTCCCTGCCAGCATAACACAATAGCTCTGCAGGAGGGATTTCCCCATCAACTTGCAACCTGTGGCTGCAGAAAACAATATCGCATCATCTCTGGCTTGACTCAGTCAGTGCCCTTGCAATTAGTGTCAGCATGCTGTGCATATTTCTTTAGCTGCCCATTTATCAGGTCCATCAGATAGGCAGCACAAGGCACACACAGCAGGCTAACAATATTGTTGCCAATTTCAAGGCGGTGATTTTGGCTCGCAATCTACAAAACAGAAGTGAGAACAAAAAGGACGTCCGATTGGCTGCACTCCAAACAATCCACTTTATTGAACCAAGAGAAAACCAATACAGGCAGTGGAAATACAGTGGGGGACGAGCAGGTAAAATGCGTTTCACGATAGACAGAGCCTAATGAATAAGCGCTGTCTTTAGCATGAAACGCGTTTACCTGCCAGTCCCCCACTGTATTGGTTTTTCCATCTTTGCTCAATAGACAGTGGAAATAAAGTGGGGGACTGGCAGGTAAAAAAAACGCGTTTCACGCTAAAGACAGCGCTTATTCATTAGGCTCTGTCCATCGTGAAACACGTTTTACCTGCCAGTCCCCCAGGGTAATTCCACTATTGAACAAAGATTAAAACCAATACAGTGGGGACTGGCAGGTAAAATGCATTTCACGCTAAAGACAGAGCCTAATAAATAAGAGATATCTTTAGTGTGAAACACGTTTATTGAACAAAGATTGAAACCAATACAGTGGGGGACTTGGCAGGTAAACGCATTTCACGCTAAAGACAGCGCTTATTCATTAGGCACTGTCTTTAGCGTGAAACACTTTACCTGCCAGTCCCCACTGTATTGGGGTTTCAATCTTTGTTCAATAAACGCGTTTCACACTAAAGACAGCGCTTATTCATTAGGCGCTGTCTTTAGCGTGAAATGCGTTTTAGCTGCCAGTCCCCCACTGTATTGGTTTTAATCTTTGTTCAATAGTGGAATTACAGTGGGGGGACTGGCAGGTAACCGCGTTTCACGATAGACAATGCTTAATGAATAAGCTCTGTCTTTAGCGTGAAACGCGGTTACCTGCCAGTCCCCCCACTGTATTCCCACTATTGAACAAAGATTAAAACCAATACAGTGGGGGACTGGCAGCTAAAACGCATTTCACGCTAAAGACAGCGCCTAATGAATAAGTGCTGTCTTTAGTGTGAAACGCGTTTATTGAACAAAGATTGAAACCCCAATACAGTGGGGGACTGGCAGGTAAACGCGTTTCACGCTAAAGACAGCGCTTATTCATTAAGCGCTGTCTTCATCGTGAAACGCGTTTACCTGCCAGTCCCCCACTGTATTTCCACTGTCTGTATTGGTTTTATCTTGGTTCAATAAAGTGGATTGTCTGGAGTCCTTTGTTCTCATCTATGCAGCACACGAGCCGGGCTAGCACCTACAGAAGGAGCTGTACTTGGAGATCGGGAGTCTATCTTAAGCAGCGGGTAAACATATGTGAATCTACAACAAAAGTGCTGTTACCAGCAGGATATCCAAAATTAAAAAACTTTTCCGATAGATTCATAAACAAACAGATACACTGCTGAGCCCTAAGGAGTCACTGATTTCAGATTTGTATGGCCCCTATAGCTATTGGGAAGGATGCAAGGCAATGCTTCCTAAAGGGTAAGTTCCCTCCTTTCTTGGACTTGTCACCGAAGCATTTCCTCCGCACACTCCGATTAGCTGAGTAGTAGAATCCTCATCCCCAGTCAATGATCCCGATGCTGTGGATTACCCAGCAGCAGTATCAGACATGTAAAGAGAGTTTGTCTCACGCCGCACCATAGACCTAAGCTGGCCGTAGATGGATCGAAATTAGTCTGGTTCAGCAGTAACTGACCCAATTTAGATGCATCTGATCAACTTCAGTACAACCAGCCTGTTTTTTTTTTTTTTTTTTTTTATTTTTTTTTTTTAGTCGTGTGATCACTGCTAGCAGCTATAGCCGCCAGCAGTGATCGTTGTAATTCTGGCGGTGGGGAAGGCTCCCAACCAACAGAACACAGTAATGCTGCAGGAGGGTTTTCTCTATCAGCACTGTGTTGATGGGGGAATCAAGCGATTTTCAAGGTTGAAGGAAAAAAAAAAAAAAAAAAAAAAAAAAAAAAAAAAAAGAAGGGGTATACGGCCTGGTGGTACAGACCACAGCATTGGTACCTAGGGATTGGCTGATCAGAAGCAAGTATTTTCAGTATACACTCAGGAGAGTGAGTGGGCCTTTTATCAACAGGTAAAGCACAGGTGTACCTCAGTTTATGAAACGTCTCAGTTAACAGAATTTTTGGTTTCCGAATGAAAATCCATTGAAAATAATGCCTCGGTTTACAAATTATTTTCAATATATGAAGTGTATGTCGGTGCCGATTTTTAAATGCAATTACCCGCTTTTGTTTTTCCTTCACTATAGCTCACAGAGTTAGCTGTCACTTTCCCTAGAGTTAAAGGAAACTTTGTTTCTTTTATCTCTGGAAACAAACTAAAAAGGAAACATTGTTTCTTTGAACTCAAACTAAAAAAGGAAACTTTTAGCTGGGGGGAAAGACAGCCGATTCTCTGAGCTATAGTGAAGAAAAAAAAAAAAAAAAAAAAAAGAAGAGCCAGTAATTACATTTAAAAACCAGCAATGACCTATAGTGACCGACTTTTATTTAACTTTGTTCTGACCTCTGGAACGGATTAATTGATTTTCAAAGCATTCCTATGGGAAATTGCGTTTCAGTTTACGAATGTTTCGCAATACGTCCCAGAGAACGCATTAAATTTGTAAACCGAGGTACAACCTGTCTTCTGGATTTACAAAACTAGTTTCGCTTAGTTTAAATTATTAAACTGCTGAATACATTGAAGGAGAAAATGTCAGCTTGCCATGGAAATACCTCGTGGGTACAGATCTTTAAAAAGGGCCAGACCATCTAAATGGAGATTTTAGTTTTTGGTAGTCACTGGAGGGTTGACTTGCCTACTGATTTCTTACATCCCTCAGGCTTCCACAGAGCTATTGCTAATAAAAATAAAAATGCATCAGGCAGACCCTATTGACTGAAGATGTAAATTTAGGTGACTGCTGGCATCACAGAGATCTATAATTAACTAGAGAGAACATGAACCCTCCAGCATCTACTCAGGACTGAATACTGGCTTTGAGCAGAGAGAGTCTTTTAGTGTCGAAAAAGGACTGCCATTTGTTCCAGCTGGATGAAGTGCTAGTATGAGTGATACAAAGTTCCATCAGAGGAGACTAATAATCCTGCATGGTGTGAGTGTCCGAGAGACCCCGAAAAAAGAAGAGTTGGTGGCGTGTTTGCCGAAGATTCACATTATTAATACATTTCCATTGTACACTTTATGCTTGGGCCACATTCTCCAGAATGACAGCAATACCCTGACCTCCTCCAATACAGGCAGATCCTACAGCGTATTTACCACCACGGCGCCTGAAAGGGGAAAGAAAACAAAATTATTAAAAAGGAGTTTATTTCCGGGTTACACAATGACAGCATACATGGTACATTACACCACTATGGGGCTGGACTGTCTGCAGGCAGAGGGGACAGAGCTCAGATGGAAAGGGCTCTCCATGGCTGCTCATCTACGCTCCACTAGAGTCCCTGCAAATCTTTCATTCAGAAAATACAATGGGCTTTTAGGAATCAACCTTTATATTTGTAATGAAAGGAAGAGACCGCACATTCCATTCTACCGTGATAATTAGAATGAGAAAATCATGGAAATGTGTCCACAGTACAAGGAGAATTTCTGACGCATTTCGCGTTTCACGCTCCTTAGCGCTTATTCATAACCAGCATTAAACGCGTCAACAATTCTCCTGGTTGTATTGTCTACTTGTATTTTGGACATTACCATTATTAGATGAAAATCATGGAAAAAGTACAAGTAGACAATGCAAAAAGGAGAATTGTTGACGCATTCAATGCCGGTTATAAATAAGCGCTAAGGTGTGTGAAAATGCGTCAATTGTCCTGGTTTTATTGTCTACTTTTACTTTGGACATTTTCCATGATTTTCATCTAAGTAGACAATACAACCAGGAGAATTGTTGACGCATTTCGCATTTCACGCTCCTTAGCGCTTATTCATAAGCGGCGTTAAAAGCGTCAACAATTCTTTTTGTATTGACTACTTGTACTTTACCGTTTTATTAGATGAAAATCATGGAAAATGTCCAGAGTGGAGTGTGCAGCCAGGACTTCTCCAGGGTGTCACCCATCCTCTGGAACTCCCTGCCCCAACCCATCAGACTATCACCTACTCTCCTCTGCTTTAGGCGCACCCTGAAAACCCATCTCTTCAGGGAAGCCTACCCCATCCTCTGCTAACCTGCCGACCGCCTCCACTCTTCCTACCACCCCATCCCCCACAGCTATCTCCTCCTGTGCCACCATCCCCTCCCTCCTAGATTGTAAGCTCGAAAGAGCAGGGCCCTCAATCCCCTCATGTTTTGCATTGTATTGGTATTGTTCTGTCACATGTTCTGTCCCCCTTTGTAATGTACAGCGCTGAGCGAACTATTGGCGCTTTATAAATACTGTATAATAATAATAATAATAATAATAATAAAACGGTAGAGTGGAGTGTGCAGCCACTTCCTTTCATTACTACTGATTTCCGGAGGCGAGATGGGTGAGCAGCTCTGCCAGTCCCATGTTAAGTGGATCCTGCTGCATGGACCTAGAACGGCGTCTGCTTTGTGAGGTCGACTTTTAGATGAACTCCTTTTAGATTACTCCTTTTAGATTACATTCTTTCACTGCTGCAATTAAAAAGGACTACCTTTACCTATGGGGAGGCTTCACACTGCCCAATGTCCCACTGTTTTAAAAAGACACCTTCACCTAGATTGGGGTGGCAGTTTCACACTGCCCAATGCGGTCCCACCTCATAGAAGTCTATGGGAAAGCACAGCGAACACATGAAAGCCACGGGTTAGCTGCGCTTTAACAAAAAGCGCAGTGGGGCAGTGTGAAGTGATTTTATAATTATTATTATACAGTATTTATAAAGCGCCAACAGTTAGCTCAGCACTTTACATTACAATGGGAGACAGAACACGTGACAGAACAATAACAATACAATGCAAAACATGAGGGGATCGAGGGCCCTGCTCCTTGGAGCTTACAATCTAGGAGGGAGGGGATGGTGGCACAGGAGGAAATAGCTGTGGGGGATGGAGTGGTAGAAAGAGTGGAGGAGGTCGGCAATTAGCTGAGGGCGGGGTAGGCTTCCCTGAAGAGGTGGGTTTTCAGGGTGCGCCGAGAGGAGAATAGGTGAAAGTCTGATGGATTAGGGTAGGGAGTTCCAGAGGATGGGGGAAGCCCTGGAGAAGTCCTGGAGGCGGGCATGGGAGGAGGAAACCAGGGAACTAGAGAGGAGGTGGTCTTGTGAGGAGCGGCGTGTGCGTTTTGGGTGGTATTTGGATATCAGGTCGGTGATGTAGTTTGGGGCAGTATGGTGGACAGCTTTGTACGTCAGTGTTAGCATTTTGAATTTGATCCGTTGGGCAATCGGAAGCCAGTGGAGGGATTGGCAGAGGGGGGTGGCGGAGACGGAGCGGTTGGTAAGGTGGATGAGTCTGGCCGCAGTATTCAGGATGGACTGAAGCGGGGATAGCCTGTGGTGAGGTAGGCCGGTGAGGAGGGAGTTACAGTAGTCAAGTCGTGATATGATGAGGGAGTGAATGAGTTGCTTAGTAGATAGCTGTTATAATAAATCCCTCCTCCCGCCTTCCCTGAGTGCAGCTCATCTGGAATAATACTTAGATTTCAGGGACTACCCTGGATTGGGGAGGAAAGTAACAGTAAATGCCCTGTCAACTTTATGGTCAGACAGTTCACAGGGCAGTAATCAGACTTTAGGTGATCTCTCTTCCCAATACCACCCTCCTTCCACAAAATATAAATAAAAAAAAAATTACAAATAAAAAAAAAAAAAAAAAAAAAAAAAAAAAAAGAAGGATTTAAATAGGGTTTTTTGCTACTTGCTGTAAAATCCTTCTCAGAATCTATTGAAGGACACCGGAAGTCTTGCATCTTTGGGTTATATTGCCACCAACAAGAGAACTGGACACTGGCAAAAAAAAAAAAAACAAAAAAAACACAAAAACCTGGAGTAGGGTCACTCATTCACCTGGTCATCAGGATCAGCTTCTGCCTTTGGAGGCGAGTGCATTGATTTTAGTTTCCATTTATTTAAATTACAAGGTGTAACTGTGGTAAGGTCTGTGCTTCCGGATTATTTTTACTTTTTTCCCCCCCAGTTACTCAAGAGTTTTGGAAGCTGCACTAGCCATAACATTGGTGTACTGATTACACAGACTCCATACACAGATTGGACTGTCAGACCTCTCTAAAAAGGGAACCTTTGCCCTGCACATTGCTGTATTTTTTTTTTTTTTTTTTTTTAAACTAAAACAACCAATCTGTAGGCCTTCTCGGAGTATAACTCCTCCCACATAGTTTTGCAGCAAAGCAGTGCCAAGAGCATAATCATACACATGGGAGGATGGGACCTGTATCCCTCAGACTCCCAAGAAAAATGTTTTTACAAAAAAAAAAAAAAATAAATAAATAAAAAATTCAATTTTCTCATGAATTGATGGACACAGGAAGAGTGACATTTCTGGGACATCTAAAAGCTATCCTGCAGAGGGGTGCGCAACAGAGCAAACGATAGCAAACAGGCCCAACATAAACACGAACTGTAGACTGCTTGCAGCTCAAGGAGCCTCCTGAACGACCTCATGCCTAAAGCTGCCATCAGATGAGGCAGAAACATCCACCTGGTAGAACGTAGAGTCCTGGCGGCATCCCTACAAACCTGGGGAATTTGATATGTGCTGATGATTCAATGTACTCTGTAAAGCACTGCATACTAGATTGATGATATACACTCACCGGCTACTTTATTAGCTACTCCTGTTCAATTGATTGATAAACACAAATTGCTAATTAGCCAATCACATGACAGCAACTCACTGTATTTAGGCATCTAGATGTGGCGAAGACGACTTAAGTTCAAATCAAGCAACAGAATGGGGAAGAAAGGGGATTTAAGTGACTTTGAACGTGGCATGGTTGTTGATCCCAGATGGGCTGGTCTGAGCATTTAAAAAAAAAAAACTGCTGATCTACTGGGATTTCCATGCACAACCATCTCTAGGATTTACAGAGAATGGTCCGAAAAAGAGAAGATATCCAGTGAACAGCAGCTGTGTGTAGGAAAATGCCTTGATGTCAGAGGAGAATGGGCAGACTAGTTCAGCTGCGACATTCAGATGGAAGGGTCAGAAATTGGTGTAAACAGCATGAAAGCATGGATCCATCCTGCCTTGTATCAATGGCTCAGGCTGATGGCGGTATAATGGTGTGGGGGAGATTTTCTTGGCAATACCAAGGTGGACCCAATAAAGAGGCCGGTGAGTGTATATATTAAAAACAGACAAGTGACAGAAGGACCTGGATGGAAAAGAGGCACATTTATAGAACGCAGAATGTTTAGACGTACCTTAATTCATGAGTAAGATGAGCTGTGATTCGAGAACCAGATGCAGCCAGAGGGTGGCCCAGAGCTATGGCTCCTCCATTCACATTCGTCTTCTCAGGATCCAGGCCTAGAACCTTCTCCACTGACAAGTACTGAGCAGCAAAAGCCTCATTCACCTGGGGACACATCATTGAAGAGACGTTAGTCCAGCAGAAACACTTTAGTACACGTGACTCCTACCTTTTTCAATGGCTGGATACACAGCCAATATAAAACCTTATTCATGGAGTGTTTGAACCCACTAAGAAAATATGTGCCTTTTAGTCCTTATTATACAGGATTTATATATTACTATTATTATACAGGATTTTTACATATTACTATTATTATACAGGATTTTATATTACTATTATTATACAGGATTTTTATATTATTTTATACAGGATTTATATATTACTATTATTATACAGGATTTTTTATATTTATATATTATTATTAAACAGGATTTATATATTATTATTAAACAGGATATATTATTATATTTTATTATTATTATTAAACAGGATTTATATATTATTATTATACAGGATTTATTATAGTGCCAACAGTTTGCTCAGCGCTTTACAATATAACGGGAGACAATACAGTTCAATACAAGAGGGTTCACTCGCACCATACATGTGGAAAAACAGATGGAAACTGAAAACGCAGCTTTTGCTTGCAGAGACATCAGTTTTCATGCACAATGAGTTTTATACCCACTGCAGATTCCTGTGCAGAAAAAAATCCACACGATACTAGTGTTGTGGTGTGAACAGGGCAATAGAGAACACTTGATTGTGTTGTGCCCTTTGCAGAACACCTGACATCTCTGCACCATGGTGTGAATGAGCCCCAACAGTAAGGGAGCACAGTGTTCAGAGGGGTACAGATGGAAGGACTGCGGGGTGCAGAAACAGACCACACTGGCTTGGTTGGGTCACAGAGGTGCAAGGTTTCAGGGTGAGCCAGGTGAAGGGGAATTAGCTGGAGGTCAGGTCAGAACAGGAGGATCAAACACAGCAAATCCTTTACTCCTGCGCTGGGGATGGACTCAGCCGAGGCTAGGATAACAATGTAAAATGTTCTGGAATATGCACTGCTTGCTGCCCTCAACGGACCGGGGTAGTCCAAAGTCACTAAATGCAAATGGAAAAAACAAAAAGAGGGCCGGCCTAGTGCATTCTATTTTAAAATATTTAAGAAAAAAAAAAAAAAAAAGTAGGTATCAAACTCAAAATGGACAGATGAGAAAAAAAAAAAAAAAAAAAAAAAAAAAAAAAAAAAAAAAACACACACACACACACACAGGCACACCACAATGAACAAAGGTGTTCAATCCATATAGCATCTGAGTCCACAACGATGGAACCCTGGATGACCAACTGGCTGACGTGTTTCGAGGACTCAGCCTCTTCCTCAGCCTATTCTTTTAAATACATATTTTAAACGATAATGCACTAGGCCGGTGCACCCTCTTTTTGTTTCTCTTTTGCATTCAGAACAGGAGGATGGCAGCAGTAAACGTTGCATTAGAATGGCTGAAGTAGTGTGCAGGTATAGGAAATAAAGATTACAAGAAAGTTGGGAGGATAGCTCCAGATCACTAGATGTGATGAAGTACTGGAACATTCCATTGCTGCACACAGACATCACAAGTAACGATGGATTGACAGGCACTACATATATTTGGGCCAAGGTACCGTACAGCTACAGCAAACATCAATACTGTCCATGGAGCAGACCGAGAACCCAAGAACTGAGTGATCACAGCGCTTTTAAAGCGCTCAGTTCTTGGGACAGCTGCATCTTGACACTGATATTGCAGCAGAGCTTTACTTATTTTTGTTTACATATCCCATACGTCTAATTAAAAAAAACAACTCATAAAAACCATTACAAAATTGAAACAGAATCAATTAAAAAAAAAAAAAAAAAAAAAAAAAAAAAAAAAAAAAAAAAAAGGTTTTTAAAAAACAGCACCCACATAGCCCCGTGCACACACCCAAATGCAAACATGCACGTAGGATGCACAGGTGTAGGTAAATGATGATCATGCCACACATGCCAGGTATTACTGCAAATGATGGAAGTGAGAACAATAATTCTAGGCCCATAATTCATGGTTAGCGCTAAACTGATAACCTGTAAAAGATTTTAAAGCACTAAATATAGACAACTTTGGGTACTGTAGTTCACCATTTTATGGGCATGTGAAACTTTTAGGCTCGATATCTGGTATCTATTGACTTGATGCAACTCTATTTATATTTTACCGTAATAAACTGGATATTATGTTGTGTTCGCACGCGCTAATATTCACTTCAGTGTAGCCTAAAAATGATGAGCTGGATTTGAAGTAAAGCAAACAACTTAAAGCCCATAACAAAAAAAAAACAAAAAAAAAAAAAAAAAAAAAAAAAACCACAAACTTACAAATTTGTCAAATCTAAAACTATGCTGTTCATAGGGTGACACCACTGTTGCAGAATAAACAGTAGAAGTGGAAAAATCAATGGATCTATTGGCAGGATCAATGGGTAATAGGATGGTTACAGGAGGGACTGAGAAAACCAAAGACTGCTTAGTGAGGATTACACCAAGTGTCATTTTTGCTTTAGAAGATAATTCAGCTGAAAGTAAAAAAGGATGTATTAATCCTAAATCACTGCGCAAAATACTCTAACCACATGACTAAATAATACCACCCAACTTACAATCATTTTAACAACCCATATGTATTCAACAACAAAAAGATTGCTGCCGCTTTAAATTATATATACTCACACCACTATCTTAATCATTAATACAGCCAGTGTAAGCAGCGCAACATTCAAAGTGCTATAACCTATATAAAAAAAAAAAAATAATTCAAGTCAAATAAAATAAATAAACAAAGTCACGGAGTCTTTTGTTCAGGTTCAGAAAACTTTGACCAACTGGCTATTCTGGACTGAGGGAGTCTATTCCACATTTTCACAGCTCTTACTGTGAAGAAACCTTTCCATGTTTGGAGATTAAATTTCTTTTCCTCCAGACATAAAGAGTGCCCCCTTGTCCTCTGTGATGACCTCAGGGGAATAACTCTACACCGAGTTCACTGAACCACTGATGTATTTATATGAACCACTGATGATCATATCCCCCCCTTTTATTATACATAGAGATCATATCCCCCCCTTATGTATTATACATGGAGATCATATCCCCCCCTTATGTATTATACATGGAGATCATATCCCCCCCTTATGTATTATACATGGAGATCATATCCCCCCCTTATGTATTATACATGGAGATCATATCCCCCCCTTATGTATTATACATGTATTATGTATACATGGAGATCATATCCCCCCTTATGTATTATACATGGAGATCATATCCCCCCTTATGTATTATACATGGAGATCATATCCCCCCCTTATGTATTATGTATTATACATGGAGATCATATCCCCCCTTATGATCATATCCCCCCTTATTATACATGGTGATCATATCCCCCCTTATGTATTATACATGGAGATCATATCCCCCCTTATGTATTATACATGGAGATCATATCCCCCCCCCCTTATGTATTATACATGGAGATCATATCCCCCCTTATGTATTATACATGGAGATCATATCCCCCCTTATGTATTATATATGGAGATCATATCCCCCCTTATGTATTATCCCCCCTTATGTACATGGAGATCATATCCCCCCTTATGTATTATACATGGAGATCATATCCCCCCCTTATGTATTATACATGGAGATCATATATATGTATTATACCCCCTTATGTATTATACATGGAGTGGTATGTATATGGAGATCATATCCCCCCTTATGTATTATTATCCCCCCCTTATGTATTATACATGGAGATCATATTCCCCCCCCTTATTATACATGGAGATCATATCCCCCCCTTATGTATTATACATGGAGATCATCCCCCCATGGAGATCAGTATTATGTATTTATATATTATACATGAATTATTTATTTTATATTATAGGTTATAGCACTAGAGCCACTTTATTTGGGTGCACTTGCTCTGCTTACACTGGCTGTATTAAAGTAAAAGGATGTTTACCTCCACAAGATCCATGTCCTTCAGGGTTAGACCAGCTTTCTTGAGTGCTTCAGTAACGGCAGGAACAGGGCCTGAAAACAGAGATCATGCTTGTAAACAGGAAGCTAAAATAGTCTGCATCATAATCCAGCCAGCAGGCTAGCAGACATACCAGTGCCAACTCATATACACAGGAGTCTCCTACTGGAAAAGTCCCCACCTTGGACGTAATGTGTCTACAGGACGGAGCTTCATGGCCTGATGTCATCTTGGTATTGACCTGTATGCCGGTGATTTGTATGAGATATATATATTTGCACTGGTAGGTCTGCTTAGCTGTGCAAGTGCCATCCTTTATTTTTTACCATTAAAAACATTTTAAAAATGGAGCATTAGATATTATGTGCTTCTTTCTCCTTCCAACATATAAATTAGGCATTCCTGCGTGTGTGAAGATTGAATGAAGAATGGAATATCATTTTTGGACTTTATATTCTTTTGCCTTTTGGACTACATATTCTTTTATACACTATAATATTTGTACACAGTGGAGAAGGCTACGATTAGGATCACTGTTTACACCTTGTGTAGGATTTAAATTTTGCGCATTGTATTGCGCTGTCCTAGTTTGGAGGAATCTGATATATTAACCAATACATGCCCGGCCAATAGCCAAAAGGTGGCCGGCAAACTGTACTGGATTTCCGGGTTGGACGCCAAATGGCGTCCTCCCGCACATGCGCACTTGCAGAGCTGCGCAATCTGTCACCAGCCGTGTACCTCGGACAGGGCCGATGACAGATCTGAGTATCGGCCCCGTTGCTGGTACCATGTGACCTGCTGTGACCAATCACAGCAGGTCACATGACAGTTGTATACAATGGATGGCTTCATTCATGCCATCCATTGTATACTAGTGTCTAGCTGTGAATGGTCACAGTGATCACATGCACAGCTATGAAAATATTCCCTTGCATGTATCTCATGGATAAATGCAAAGGTCTGACTGGTGTGTATAAAATGGTAAAAATCTAGCAAAAGCAGTCAAAAAGAAACTTAATTTTTCCCATGTAAATTTTATCAGGTCAGTGTTGTATAAAACATCCAAATACACTTGTATTAGAGGCGTAACTGACAGATCTTTGTGGATATTCCGTCAGTCCATTAGATACTGTAGATGTATACTGTACAAATCGCTAGATGCCATACACACTGTCATAGCTCAGGGGTGTGGAATGTCACAGACAGACATTTCTTTATGTGTGGGAAGTGATTCAACATTCAGCACAAGAGGGCCTATGTGCTTGGAGAATGTATAGAATGTAGATGGGGAGGACTGTACAGGCAGAGCCCTCTCTACATGTTAATACAGCATAAGTTTACATAAAATGACTTGTGATTGTATAACTAAAGAACAAAATCTGATACACAACACACACACACCAACACGTACCAGTCCTTTGATGTGATGGTGAGAATAAAAGGAAAAAAAAAAAAAAAAATAATAATCAACCGAGTGATCCTGCAACAAACATCTCATCCTACAGTGACAACACTCACTTACTGTACTGCCTCTATGGAGGAGCAGCATTGTCACGTGAGAACTAGAAGTGGGCAAAAACTACAGAAGACCCACCCCCTCTCCTCCAGAACATAGGGGGAGCTGTTCTGTAGTTCGCAGAGTTTAACCCCTTGACGCCGACAGTACACAAACATGCAGCCTCTCAGCGGCTAGGCCTTGACGCCGAGCGGCCACATATTTGTGTACCATTTGAAAAACACACGTGCTGAGAGTGCTCACCCTGCGCGTCCGTGTCTCACGGAAAGGTCCTGATTTCCCCTTTTGATCGGAACCTTTTCCGATCATGTGAAAGCCTTGACAGCAAATCACGGTGGTCACATGACCCCAAACCCTGCCTCCCGGCGTCTGAAACCCTTAAAGGGTCGGGAGGCGCTGGCGTGAAGAGGTTAAAGATGATCTTCAGTGCCCACCCTAGAAAGAAAGAAAGAAAAAAGAAAAAAAAAAAAAAAAACACACAAAACAAAAGTCAGCAGCTACAAATACTGTAGCTGCTGACTTTTAATAAAAAGGACACTTACCTGTCCTCACCCAGGCTGGTTTTTCACCAGTCTTTGGGTCCCCGGCATGTTTACTAAGAGAAGCCGGCTGACATTCCTAGTGTTTTCACAGCCGGCTTCCTATTGCACATGCGCGAGCCTCACTGCACTTTGTGAATGGTCCTTCAGCTTTCTGGGACCTCTGACATGTCCCAGAAACGTTGCGTGCCAAAAGAGGAAGGGATGAACGGAAGTGGGAGGGTACGGGGGAAAAACAAGGTACCTACCTCCCACCCCCCCACCCACAGCCCTCTTCAGATCACCGCGCAGATTTTCAATCAGATTCAGTCTGGGCTGGCATGGGCCAAAAAAACTTTAATCTTCTTCTGGTGAAGCCATTCCTTTGTTGATTTGGATGTATGCTTTGGGTCGTTATGCTGAAAGATGAAGTTCCTCTTCATGTTCAGCTTTTTATTAACAGAATCTTGAAGGTTTTGTGTCAATATTGACTGGTATTTGGAACTGTTCATAATTCCCTCTACCTTGACGAAGGCCCCAGTTCCAGCTGAAACTGACTGGAAGGTGGTAGAAGACTTTTTTTGGTGGTGATTGATCATGAAGAGCTGCACTGGGGGAATTTATATATTTTTATGGATTCCACTGAAGGTGGAAGAAGATTATAGTGGACTTGTATACACTAATATTGTATGTGTGGACATTTTCACTTTTTTTTTTTAGTGTTTTATGCAATTTTCTTAAACTTTTCTCACTTAATCAAATAAGTTCACAATTGCACCAATATTGGACTGCGTGGAGTTTATATTTAAAACATGTTTTTTTGCGTGGGAACACGACAACAGCTGCTGCAATCAATGTAAGAGATAGATATAGATATCCATCTTATCTCTCTCTCTCATATATATATATATATCTCTATCCATCTATCTCTCTGCACCTACTGAAGAGTTATAGCCAGGGGCGGACTGACCATTTTGAAACTCAAGGGCCCGGGGTCAGTAGGGGGCTCCATGAGCTGCCCCGGTACCTTTTTCATAGGCTTTTTTGAGTTTGGGCAAGGACACAGGGGCCCCATGATCCCCTATTGCCCGGGGGCCCCATGAGTGGTCAGTCCGCCCCTGGTTATAGCAATGGTATATATTGTATAACAGATCAAAACTAAGCAAATAAAAATTCATTTTTAGGTTGTACAAACGCTTTATATTTATGAATTTATATTCTCTGTGGTGAATGAATCCTTCCTGCTGAAGTAGGGTCAGAGAAAGGAAAGGAAAGAGCTGCAGGGAACTCAGATAAAACTAACATTCCTAGAAAACTGCGGTTTCCCAGCGGGCTTAGGGTCCTTTCACACAGAGCGGACCCGTTTAGCAGATCCGCTTGCTCAGCAGGGAATATCTCCGCTGATCCCTGCTGAGCACACGGATGACAGCTCTGTGTACACTACACTCCTGCTACAGAGCCAACACAGAGCCGACACAGAGCCGACACAGAGCCGACACAGAGCCGACACAGAGCCGACACAGAGCTGCTCGCTCTTCAATGGGCGGTCGGATGAAAAAAATGGACCGCATGTCCGTTTTCATCCGATCTGATGGACAGAATGGGAATTGGATCCCCTTCCGTTCCTTTTTGGCGGATCAGATGGGATGTGGGATGTCGGCGGGTGTAAATAATAATGTCCGTTTACACTCGCTGCTCCATAGAGGAGAATGGAGGTTCTGATCAGGTCCGCCTGAAAAAAAAAAAAAAAAAAAAAAAAAACACGGGTCAGCAGACCCGATTGGCATGCCCATGTGAAAGAGCCCTTAGGGAAACTGATTTTAGTGAAAGAGCGGTTTAGCAGGCCCTGGGAATGGAGAGTAGTTTCTGCATTCCTTTACAGGTAATCAGTCCATCCAAACAACAATTCCAGTATAGAAAAAAAAGTAAAAAGTTGGTGCTAAAAAGGTATCAGATGTCATAAAAACGAGGAAAGAGAAAGTGAGTGTTGTTCCTTACCGATGCCCATAATCTTGGGATCACACCCAGACACATGATAGGCTACAATCCTGGCGAGTGGGGTGAGCTTGTGCTGTGTAACGGCTTCTTCACTGGCCAAGATGAGAACTCCGGCTCCATCAGAGATACCCTGAAACAAAAACAATATAGTCCAGGTCAACAACTTGTGAGCAACCAATTAAGTTTTATATGTCATTTAATTTATACACGGGGTTTCCAGAGACGAGAAGTGTAGTGCAGAGGTTTTTTCCAAGTGACATGCGGTACCTGCATTCACTCTATCCGCTCTCCCAGGACCCCGGCACTCACAATCCGGATACACACAACATGGAAATGCAATTATTTTAGTAAATATTAAACTGCTAAATACCTCTTCTCATCAGCAGTATATAGCAGGTCGTGACTTTTTATCAGTGTCCATCAGAGCACCGGTTAAAGCTTGTAGGAGGAGTTTTCATTCTCCCTTTGATTGTCCTATGAGGCTGCAAGACCCCTGACCCTCTGTCTGGATAGTGCGGATCACATGCACTGTCCCAAAGGGAAAAAAAAAAAAAAAAAAAAAAAAAAGAAAAAAAACACAACAACAAACACCTCTAGCAATACACAAACTGAGCAAGTGCAGCTTACCCAAGGCTCTGTTCTATCAGTAGATTGATTGGGGACAGTAGAAGGGGAGGATCAGAGAAGACAGGATCAAACAGCCCTTTTCCACAATGCAGAGGATTAACCCCTTAGGTACCACCTTGAGTATAACAAGCATGATTTACTGCATATAGACTGATATTACGGTTGTGGGTTTTTGGAACACTTTACCTGCCCTCCTGAGGATTTCCCCCCCCTTCCTGATAAGGCAATTTTTTGCGTTACGGCGCTGTGTTACTTTAACTGACAACTGCGCAGTCATGCAATGATGCACCCAAATGAAATTTACATCCTTTTTTTCCACCCCACAAATTGAGCTCTCGTTCGGTTGTATTTGATCACTTGTGCGGTTTTAAATTTTTTGTGCTATTAAAAAAAAAAAAAAAAAAAAAAAAAAAAAAAAAAAAAACCACACAGCAAGCACTGACTGTACTGGTATGGGCAGGGAGGGATTAACATGAGGAGTGATCAAGGGGTTAACTGTGTGCTGGGAGTTTTACAGTAGGGGGCGGTGTGTTGGTGCTTCACTGTAATCACACTGCTTTGGATCACTCAGCCATCCAGAGCAGTGTGCCGAGCCAACAGGGAGAACTGTTAACAGATCCTCGGAAAATCGCCATCAAGTAATCCAACTGGGACCCGGTGATTGACAGCCGCGAATGGCGGCGTGGGTAGGGCGCGTGCAATTCCGCCCCAACCAACTCGGAAATGCAAACGCTCACACACAATTTTGCGCACCCGTGCTGTCCTGTAGCAGTATTTTTTATGTCCAGCAATCATTCAAATAAGATTTTTCTGATGTCAGACAAAAACAAAAGTAACATGGTTTGGAGGTCAGCCTGCACCTGCAGTAAACCGAATGAAAAAAAATGGCACCCTCAGATAGCTGCACATTACTTTGAACCCTTTTAGAAGCTGAACTGTGGGAATTAGCCATGATCTACCCAAGCAGTGGCACCATCGTCTCCTGCACTGCAATAGGTAAAAGCAGAACTAAACTCTCCTATCCTTGAGGCTGAAATCACACTTGAGCGATTTGAAGCATGAAGCTCCAAAAATGCTCACGCTTAAAAAAATAAATAAATAAAAAAAATTCCTTCTCTCTGATGCCTGTACGCACAATCAGGTGTGAACAGGCCCCACAGAGAACAATTCATTTTAAGTTTGAGGAGAGTTTTTCGAACTTCAAAAATCGCTCAAGTGCGATGGCAGCCTTACAGTCAAGGAAGCAGCCATCTTTGTCTCCAGTTGCTATGGTGCTGCACATGTGATCAGTTATGCCAACAGCCAATTTATGACTTCACAGTTCGGGGGAGCGCAGAATCAGTGACAGTTCTGATTCAAGACATGCCTTGGGGGCTTATTCACACCATGGTCAGAGACCTCAATTTTTCTGCAAAAGCTCAACAAAATCAGTTCCCTATGTGCCCCGTTCACACCACTAGTATCACATGCCGATTTTTTTTTTTTTTTTTTTTTTAAGCGCAGGAATCTGCAATGTGTATATAACTCCTTGAAGCTCACATGAATACTGATGTAAACCGATGTCTGCAAGTGAAATCTGTGTGTCAGTTTCCATCAGTTTTTCTGCATGTATGGTGTGAACGAGGCCTGAATATACCCATCTGAGGAACCAGTTAAAGTGATGGGTTTAGTTCCCACTTCAGGGTGCTCTGTCTAGGGGTGCCGGGGAAAAAGGCCAATACTTGCATTACTCCTGGATCCTGAAGAGCACACAAGCCTGCTGGGCCAATACAGCTTATCCCTGCACCACTAAACAAGCATTTAACCTCCGCAGTGTGAGGTTGGGGCCCTATTGCAGATGTAGATTTTGTCCAATTCTCAGAATTCAGCTTTAGGCTTCACGGGATCGCCAGAAACTAAGAGGTTAGGTTACACCCCTCCTAACTTTTCTAGTTCACTAGAAGTAACCAGTACTAGGGTTGTTGGTTCAAATCCCAAGCATAGCACCACTGCCTGGAGTTTGCATGTTCTCCCTGTGCCTGCGTGGGTTTCCTCCGGGTACTCCTCCCACACTCCAAAAGACACACACACTGTAATGACATCCCAGTCTTGGTCCGTAGGGTTCAATATTGAGTTGGCCCGCCCTCTGCAGCTATAACAGCGTCAACTCTTCTGGGGGAAGGCCGTCCACAAGGTTTAGGAGGGGTGTCTATGGGAAGGTTGGACCATTCTTCCAGAAGCACATTTGTGAGGTCAGGCACTGATGTCGGGGGAGGAGGAGGCCTGGCTCACAGTCTCCGCTCTAATTCATCCCAAAGGTGTTCTATGAGGTTGAGTCAGAACTATGAGTTGAAGTCAGAACTCTGTCTCTTTATGGATCTTGCTTTGTGCACTGGTGTGCAGTCATGTTGGAACAGGAAGGGGCCATCCCCAAACTCTTCCCACAAACTTGGGAGCATGAAATTGTGTCCAAAATGTCTTGGTATGCTGACACCTTAAGAGTTCCCTTCACTGGAACCCCAGAAAACCAACCCCACACCATAATCCCCCCTCCACCAAAAATTTTTCACTTAGCACAAATGTTTGGCTATGGGACAGGAAGTGAATCAAAAATCTCTGCAATGGGACACGGATGGCGAAAAAAAAGAAAACCTGACAGGGGTTATAACCCTCCCTTGCTTTATCCAAACAAAAAAAAAAAAAAAAAGGTTTTGGCTACTTTTTGCCTATGTAATTCCATTTTATTACACATAACTTAATGTACTGAACACATGACGAAAGGGAGGTGCAAAAAAGGAATTGAAAGCCAAGACACCAGCTGAAAGCTATGAGTAATTAGAAAGCAATCCTGCCTTTTGTCAGTGCAAATTAATATCAGCTGGTTCTCAACTAATGGCCTATAAAAATAAAAAGAAACAAAAAAACAACTGTCATCACCAATATCTCATGATGACTAAACAATTAGATTTTTTTTTTTTTTTTTTTTTAAACTTCTGAATGTTCCAGTGAGCACTGTTGGGGCCATAACCTGGAAGTGGAAAGAACATTCCACCATAAACTGGCCATGACCAGGTGCTTCTCGCACGATTTCTGACACAGATTTCATGCTCCAGCTTTAGTAACTCTCCCCCATAGTGTTCCTTACCGAGGCGTTCCCAGCAGTCACCACTCCATCCTTCTTGAACACTGGTGGCAGTTTGGCCATCTGCTCCAGGGTAGTCTGGGGTCTCGGGTGCTCGTCTTGCTCCATTTTCACAGGTCCTTTCTTTGTTTTCAATTCAATTGGGACCATTTCTGCAGTGAAGTATCCAGCGTCCTGAGCTAAACAGATGACAAGAGTCAGAAGGTTACCTTATGGAGGCAGGGATTGCAGAGACAGTCCCTAATGCACAGTATTTACACCACAATGGTAAACGTTTTTTTGACACCCGACTATCATACCTACTATATAACCAAAGAAATGTTGGGGAAGTTGCTGAGTTTGGGTGTTTACAGTGAATGGTATGGTAACACCATAGCTTACAAAAAAGGCATGTTAAGAGAATTGTGCATTTCCAAAATTTGTGCCAACACTTTAGGGAAGGCCCTTTTTTGTTCCAGCATGACTGTGCTCCTGCACACAAGCCAGCTCCATATATTAGGATTTTTGGTTTACCTGTAAAATCCTTATTTTATTTTTTTTTTTTAAAGAGTACATCATAAATGACAGAGGATTTCTTATTCAAGACCACCTGACGGGGAATCCCAACCCAGGCATAACCCCTCCCAGCTCAGCTGAGCCTCAGTTATGTAGTAATCAATATGGAGCAAGGAGTGGAGAGGGATCTCTGTGCCCCAATATATACTCAAAAAATAAATAAATAAATAAATAATAACTAATAATAAATAATAATAATAATAATAATATGGGGTTGTAGACATAACCAAAATCCTATTTTCTTAAAATGCACATCACAGGGACTTCAAATTCAGAATCATTGGAGATGTCCCAGAGCAGTGAACAGGAGGGGTGGGCAAAACAGCAATAAAGTCAAACCCATCGCAACACCCCCAAAACAAGAAAAGGGGGAACCCCACTACAAGACTTTTTGCCTAAAACTGGCATCTGCAGAGGCAGTACCATCCAGCCGACAGAACGTGCCATCCACTCGACAGACCGTGCCATCCACTCGACAGACCGTGCCATCCAGACGACAGACCGTGCCATCCAGACGACAGACCGTGCCATCCAGACGACAGAACGTAGCAAATGTGTGAAGAGAAGCAGTCTTACAAATCTGAACAGAAGCTTGATGCTGAATTGCCCGAGAAGTGCTGCAGCCTTTGTAAAATGGTCTTGGCCAGGAGAGGAGAACCTTGTCCCTTATCCCACAGGCCTGAAAAATGAGCTGATGAATCCACTCAGAAATAGAGGATCGGAGGAGCATACTGACCCTTAGGCATAACAAACAGGGAATCAGACTGTCTAAACATAGCTAAAGACTTCAAGAAACCCTGAAATGCTCCAGCAACAGTCAACAAGAAAGCTCCTTCTCGTCAGGATGCTTTGGAAGCTGCTAGGAGCTCAGGTCCTGACATAGGCATGCGCCTCCAGAACTACATCTTCCAAAAGCCCTTTCTCTACACACAGTGGAGTTTATTTACTAAAGCTGGAAAGTGCAAAATCAGACTCACTCCTGTATAGAAACTAATCAGCTTCCAGGTCTTATTGCCAAAGCTTAATTGAACAAGTTGAGGTTAGAATCTGATTGGTTTCTTGGCAGAAGGGAGCTGGATTTTGCACTATCCAGCATCTGGGTCCCTCCCCTCTCTGGGGGCAGACAACAGCATTTTTACTGGGGGGGGGGGGGGGTGGGGGGAATGTATATATGTGGAATGGGGGCAGAGAGGGATGGGGAATGAGCGTTCTGCTGTCCAGCACGTCCAGGACTGACAAAGCCGATTGGGATTTCAGTGCAGCAGAGGCATTAGGAGTCAGTGGATTTCCGACAGAACAACTGGTATTTTTCTATGCTTTACAGAAAGGATATCTTATTTTACACTCCCCTGCTGTCTTAGGCCTCTTGCACACTGGGCATTTAAAAAAAAAAAAAAAAAAAAAAAAAAAAAAAAAAAAAAAAAAGGCGCTTCTCATACAGGAGTTTGGCTTTTTCTCCCCGCTTTCAGCTTGTATAAGAAACCCGTGATAGCTGGGTGAATGTCACTCATGTGTCCCAGTATCTTCAAGTAGCAGCAGTCAGGGAGGGTCTATAGCTGATGATAGGCGAGTATTAAACAGATGGTAGTTTTAAGGCAAACAGATTTAATACATATTATAGGAGGGCTGTTTACCTGCCAAAAGATTTGCACTTTTGTCCATCCAGTCCTGAGATTTACACAGTTCTGCTCATCAGCATAGTGCAAGATACTGATATTTCTCCACTGCAGTTAACAATTACAAGTCTCGTCGTTCTCCACCTCCGCTTCCAAAGAAGCGGCCCACTCGCCTCTGTCACTCTTCTCTCTATCAGCAAGTCCCTTACACTGCAGCACATTTTCACTCATGGTCAGTGGTGTATTTAGGTTTCATGCTGCCCTATTCAACACAAAAATTGCCCCCCCCCAACCGACCCTGACCAACAACCCCCTCCCCCAAAAAGAGAGGCTGACATTGACCAACAACACCCCCCCCCCCCCAGGAGAGCCTTCAACTACCACCGCAACCCCCCCCCCATACACTGGCAACCCAACGCAACCCACCCTGGCAAGAGAAGACACTCACCTTCACAGCTCTGGACATCCCCAGGAACAAGAGTCAGGTTCTGCATACACCATCAAGCAGCCTTCAGATCCAACCTGGTCTCCGTGCCTCGTGTGTCCCTTCTTCCATGCTCTTTCGGGGGACGGCATTGCCCCCCTGAAAAATGCCACCCTAGGCAAATACCTTGTGGTAAATACACCCCTGCTCATTGTGCTGTTTATGTGCTTTGCTGTACAGACTATTAATTTGATGTATTCATTTGTGTTCTTCCTGGAGTTCAGCTTTGAGGCCTGGTTCACACGGCTGCAGCTCGGAGTCATGTTTTGCACGTACATGGCAACCCATTCATTTGAATGGACTACCATGCTCTGGAAAAAAAAAAAAAAAATGCAGGGAAAACTTCCCGGAATCATTTTTTTTAAATTGCAGCTAACAATGAAAAAACAGCAAGTGTAGTGCAGTTCCCAGTGTGGGAAGCAACTGCTGCAATTTCCAGTGTGTGTGTGTGCCATCAGGCTTAATGGCACCCGCACACATCTCCAGCATTTTTCTGTGCAGGCGATTGTGGCTGAGGGAATAGGTGCGGTCCTACAGCGGCAATCACCTGCACAGGTGTGATCCTAGCCCAAGTATCAGGAAGACGACTGAATTCTACTTTACAACAAACACATCCTGGGGTTATAAAGTAACCTTCTAGTGTCAGTGAAATTATTAAAAAAAAAAAAAAAAAAGTCCAAAAATTCCAAACAATTATTCATCCAAGTTCCAATTCATCATTCCCGTGTATTTCCAAGAATGATGTATACCTCCAAAAAAGGAAAAAAAAAAACGGAATAGTGTATTATCCTCAGTAGAACAGTGATTAAATCAAATTTAAAAATAATCCAAAAAAAACTTTTTCCGTGCAAAAAAACAAAAAAAAAAAAAAAAAAAAAAAAAACCATTGTGAACTGTGTGGGTGAAACACTGTTTACACTTCTATATACACATTCCTTTGTGAACACGGAGCACTTCTAGGTGGCTGAATTACATACCCTTACCCTAAATAGGTATTAAAGAGCCTTCAAAATAATCCCCATGGATTCTCACTCCAACAGAAAAATATCTCCCAGGATTAACTTCAGATCTCAGGTTATCCCTTCCTTCCAGTCATGCCTTCATGTCTCACAATGCCATTCATAGATAGAATATATTACACTATATGGCTATTTCTTCTCTTAGAAAAGATCCAGATTTTAATTAATATGCTTACATTTGTAAAATGATTAAAAAACGCATATGCCATGAGCAGCTTCCTGGAACGCTGAATGTGGCAATGTAGGATCTGGTTTTTTGCCCTTGTTCTGAATGGCAGCGAATGACTGCCAATTAGGCAGACGGAGATAAATATGGCCGCTGATCCAACGTACACACCCCTTATGAGGAAGTCAGGAAGTGACGAAACGTGTCAAGGGCTGTGACGTTGCACAGAGAACCGGAAGTGGCGGAGCGGCCTGTCATGGGCGCAGCGTCAGACCCCAGCTCTCTTCACACCAAACTCGTGACCGAAGGACTGGCCGATCTAAAACCGCGATGTGACGTGCGTAACAATGCCACGCCCAGCTGCACCCTGCACAACAAATTTCCAGCTAATTTGGACCACAATCGATGTACCTGCAGCCTGGGAGCGATTGTTACCTGGGTCGGGTTAATTACGCAATTAACCCCTTCACATTGCCACCACCTCCTTTTTGATCAGAGAAAGAGGAAACTCAGCAATACACTAGGATGATTGGTTAACCATCAGTATCCCGCTATCTCTACAGACCGGTTATACAGAGGGTTAAATACTCATAGTAGCATCTCTTTAAAAAGGCAGGGATTTGTAAATTACATTCAGGAGCTATAGAAACAGTTCAACACTTTTAGAAAGTAGCGTCCTGGGGTTAAGCACCTTCAAGTTTCATGAGCTTCAGGTTGAGTTGCTTCTTGTCTCTACTGCCAATTCCATTGACTCATCGTAGGAGACTTTGCTTTCTGTCTGCAGATCTTGTATCGCAGACCGTTACATCTCTCTAACCTCAAGAAGGGAGAAAGCTCTCCTTAGCTAAGACAATCGCACTGGAATTTTACTATCACGGCCAAACCAATACCTTATTTGGCAAAAGGATTATTAGGCAGGCTCAGCTTCATATGCTGCTTGCATTCCTGAGGGAGGGGAATGAGGAGATACATGAAACCTCCAGGTGCTTGCATAGGATTTAAAGAGAAATACCCAAAATGTATAAGTTTGAGGCAAAATGGAGAACTGCACCTGGCACCTGTGGGCATGATTGTGACACGGCCATCTTAAGTGAGGTTATTCTACACTTCCAGGAAGCTGCTCGTGGCTGGGAAATAAGAATATATGCGTTTTAATCATTTTACGAATGTAAGCACATTAATTAAAATCTGGATCTTTTCTAAGTGAATATATTACACTATATGGCTATTTCTTCTATCTATGAATGGCATTGTGAGACATGAAGGCATGACAAAGGAAGGGATAACCTGAGATCTGAAGTTATTCCTGGGAGATATTTTTCTGTTGGAGAATCCATGGGATTATTTTGAAGGCTCTTTAATACCCATTTATTATTATACAGGATTTATATAGCGCCAACAGTTTGCTCAGCGCTTTACAATATAATGGGAAACAATACAGCAACAATACAGTTCAATACAAGAGGGTTAGGAGGGCCCTGATCCTTGGAACTTACAATCTAGGAGAGTAATTCAGCCACCTAGAAGTGCTCACAAAGGAATGTGTATATAGAAGTGTTTCAATATTTCACGTGTTGCTCACAATTTCAGAGTTTTTTTTGATCGAAAAAAAAAAAAAAAAAAAAAAAAAAAAAAAAAACACAGTTTGTGGATTATATTTAAATTTGATTTAACCACTGTTATACTGAGGATAATACACTATTCAGTTTTTTTTTTTTCCTTTGGAGGTATACCTCATTCTTGGAAATACATGGGGATGATGAATCAGAACTTGGATGAACAATTGTTTGGAATTTTTGGACTTTTTTTAATATTTTCACTGACACTAGAAAAAGGTTTATTATTTATGATTTTGGACTTTCAAGGGTGAAAGTGGGACTTAAGTGTCAATATATAGGGTAATATATATCACAGTTTATTATAGATATAATTTTGGATACCAAATCTTGTATCGCATCCAGTGATTAACCTATACGAATGTAAACCCCGCTCACTAGGCCTGACTGAGACGTTAGGCATGTTCCCGTCTACAGACAAGTCAGTTTCTCAAATTACTCACCGGCTTTCCATCTCTGTTGGCTCCGGTAGCCAAAGTTGTCACAGTCCTTCCTGGAGATCACATATTTTTCAGCCAAGTTCTCAGCTGTGATGGCCATGGGGGTCTTTATCATGGAATCAGTAAGGCCAGCCCAGAGAGTATCCTCCATCTATGGGTGAATAGAACAGTCAGATACAGAGAGAGTTACAAGCGTCCAATATCAGTTTCATCGAAAACCTCAAAATTGTGGCAGTATATGGGGTATATTGTAAACCCCTGATCATGCCATTGGCCCATTTCTTTTAATACAACATTGGGGCTCTCCATGTGACCAGAGTACATCAAACTCAAAGGAGAAACTTGCTAAAAAAAAAAAAAAAAAAAAAAACCCCGCTCAGGTCCATCATATCAACCACCCCATAATACTCATACCCCCCATTATAAAACCCATCCCATCAACCCCCCCCATTATACTAATACCCCCATTATAAAACCCATCCCATCATAACCCCCCCATTATACTAATACCCCCATTATAAAACCCATCCCGTCACCCCTAACCTCCCATTACATTTCATTTTCAATCTTCAGCGCTGCATGTTTCTGTAAAACTACAAGTAATATGGCAACCTGGAGGCGTTCTGCACACAGATGATGTACAGAACGCCCCCACAGATATAATTTCTTGCTTGTGTGATTTACTTACTGGATTTTCCCAGAAGTTTGCACTAGATAAAAGTCAGATTTTGGGCATCCCCTACAACAAACATTTTTGGTGAGATACTCCCATTCCCAACCATTGGGCCACTGATCGGCTTGTGCTGAAATGAATAACAGCACAGCTGGGGCCGCACACGCGCCCCTATGCAGAAGAGCTGGATCTCATATTGGATACGTGATCCCATGCAGGGATGCCGCTCTGCTGGCGTACATCTAAGCGATTCTTAAGATGTTACCAGAGAAGAGAATGACAACAAACAGAAAAAAAAAAAAATGTGCCCTTATAATCCTGTGGCAACAGTTTGGCCCTGTGTACAAAGCCAGCTCCATATAAACATGAATGAGACATGATAAATTAGGATGTTGATTGAGAGCCAGGTCTTCTCATACAGCATCAGTAGCAGACCTAAGAAATGTTATTGGCCAAATGGTAATTTCCTACAGACAACCCAAAATTTTGTGGAAAGCCTCCCCAGAAGAGTATAGGATGTTATGACCACAAAAGGCAGGGGCCCCTGGTTTAGGAATAGAATGACCAGCAAGGTGTGATGGTCAGGTGTCCAAAATTTCTGGTCATATAGTGTTTAGATAAATTGGGGGGGGGAACCCAAAAAACCCACTTTACCCACACTCAACTGGCCTGTTACCACATAGATTTTATTGGTTTCTGAAGGGCAGTACAGACAGTTCTTATCAGAGATGAAGTTCCAGCGTTTTTGTACGACATTCCCCCCAACAATGTTAGTACCTTGAGATCCACTCCAAGCTTGGTTCCAAATCGGATATTTCGAACAGCGTATGGAGACTGGCTCATGCTCTCCGAGCCTCCGCACATGACGATCTCCGACTCTCGCAGGGCAATTTCCTGGGGTAAGGAAATGGAAAATGTTTTTAAATGTCACCTTGTCCCAATGTCCTTTCCAATTCAATCTACAGTTAATCCTCTTTTTAAAATAAAAAGTGGTTTCCTTGCAATGTGGTTACACATGGGATGTTCTGTAGACTGTGGTGTACAGAATACTCAAGAAATACTCTTCCTACATGCACAACTGGCTGACAGTTCTCAATGGTCTGCACAGAGCCTAAAGTGAACCTGTGCTTGGCTATACAGGTAACACTCCTTAGTAGAGTCTGCCAAAACCCTCCCCCAGAAATCACCTGCAAAGAAACAGTAATAAGAAAAGACAAAATATAATAAAAAGAGTTGCACTTTAAAGCAAAGCTTATTTAGTTTCAGGTGGAGAAGGGTTAAAACCTCAGTCAGGTATTGCTGTCCTTTGAGAAGATTCTCCCTTAGTTCCTGCCAGGATGTAATGAGAAATCTTTTCCACATGGACACAAAAAACAAAACCTACCCTCCCGGCGCCTCCTCCCAGCAGTGACGGAGCTCCACCTACCCTGCCGCCGCCTCCTCCCAACGGTGACGCAGCTCCACCTACCCCGCCGCCGCCTCCTCCCAGCAGTGGCGCAGCTCCACCTACCTTGCCGTCGCCTCCTCCCAGCAGTGACACAGCTCCACCTACCTTGCCGTCGCCTCCTCCCAGCAGTGACACAGCTCCACCTACCTTGCCGTCGCCTCCTCCCAGCAGTGACACAGCTCCACCTACCTTGCCGTCGCCTCCTCCCAGCAGTGACACAGCTCCACCTACCTTGCCGTCGCCTCCTCCCAGCAGTGACGCAGCTCCACCTACCTTGCCGTCGCCTCCTCCCAGCAGTGACGCAGCTCCACCTACCTTGCCGTCGCCTCCTCCCAGCAGTGACGCAGCTCCACCTACCTTGCCGTCGCCTCCTCCCAGCAGTGACGCAGCTCCACCTACCTTGCCGTCGCCTCCTCCCAGCAGTGACACAGCTCCACCTACCCTGCTTCCCGCTAAAAAGCAGAGACGCAGCTCCACTTACACAGATCCCTCCTCCCAGCAAAGACGCAGCTCAGTCTGCTTCCTACTCCATATGATTTTGTGTGTAAATACATAGAAAAGACACACCAAGTGTATGGCACAAAATGGCTGTTGGACTCATCTTAGCCTTTTACCACCGCTGCTTTATGATACAACTCAAATTATTTACAGTCAGGAGGCCACATTCACCCAATTATGCCATTTAAAACTAGAATTCCGACTGTTCACTGCCCTAGGTACTATCATAATGAAGGAACTTCTGGCCAAGCGGAATGTTCCTATTAAATGAGAGCTCTGATAGGACAGATTGCAGAGTGCAGAAAAGCTACATCTGGAAGGCCTCTTTTTGTTTACTGGGTGCTTTGGCAGAGTTACACTTTAAGCAAGCCATTATAGACTAGGAATGCCTAAACTGACAGGGGTGTGCAAATTATTATTATTATTTTTTTTTTTTTAAAAAACAACTTGTCCAAAAGGGACTAAATTGGAGTCCCAATCTACTTGTCCCTCATCTACAGTGGGGGAAATAATTATTTGATCCCCTGCAGATTGTTCGTTTGCCCACTTACAAAGAAATGAAGGGACACACACACACACTGAGTAAAATAAGTATTTGATCCCCAAGCAAAACATGACTTAGTACTTGGTGGAGAAAGCCTTGCTGGCAAGACGTTTCTTATAGTTGGTGACCAGGTTTGCACACATCTCAGGAGGGATTTTGGTCCACTCTTCTTTACAGATCTTCTCTAAATCCATAAGGATACTTGGCCTTCGCTTGGTAACTCGAACTTTCAGCTCCCTCCATACATTTTCTATAGGATTAAGGTCTGGAGACTGGCTAGGCCACTCCAGGAGCCACTCCTTTGTTGCCTTGGTGGTATGTTTTGGGTCACTGTCATGCTTGAAGACCCATCCACAACCCATCTTCAGTGTTCTGGCTGAGGGAAGAAGGTTCTCATCCAAGATTTTACAATACATGGCCCATTGGCCCCTCAATGTGGCAAATTCGGCCTGTACCTTTGGCAGAGAAACAGCCCCAACACATAATGTTTCCACCTCTGTGCTTGACTGTAGGGATGGTGTTCTTAGGGTCATAGGCAGCATTTTTCTTTCTTTAAACACAGCAAGTCAAGTTAATGCCAAAAGAGCTCAATTTTGGTCTCATCTGACCACAGCACTTTCTCCCAATCCTCCTCTGAATCATTTAGATGTTCACTGGCAAACTTCAAAACGGCCTGTACATGTGCCTTCTTGAGGGGGACCTTGCAGGCGCTGCAGGATTTCAATCCATGGCGGCATACTGTGTTATCAATTGTTTGTTTGGTGACTGTGGTCCCAACTGCCTTGAGATCATTCACAAGCTCCTCCCCTGTAGTTCTGGGCTGATCCCTCACTTTTCTCATGATCATCCTTACCCCATGAGGTGAAATCTTTCATAGAGCTCAAGACCGAGGATGATTGATTATTATTTTTCCATTTGCAAATAATCACTCCAACAGTGGTCTTCTTCTCACCAAGCTTCTTGCAGATGGTCTTGTAGCCCATTCCAGCCTTGTGAAGGTCTACAATTATGTCCCTGACGTCCTTTGTCAGCTCTTTAGTCTTGCCCATGATGGTGCTCAAGAAAAATTCTGTGGACAGGTGTCTTTTATACACATGAGTTGTCGTTAGGAGCACCTCTTTAAATTAACAGGACTAATCTGTGTACCACATGCCAGTCTGTGGGAGCCAGAATTAATTGTTGGTTGGTTGGGGATCAAATACATATTTTACTCACTGAACTGCAACTCAAATTTGTATTGTGTTTTTTTCTGTATTTTTGGTTGATATTCTGTCTCTATCATTTAAAATACACCTATGATAAAATTATAGTCCTTCATTTCTTTGTAAGTGGGCAAACTAACAAAATCTGCAGGGGATCAAATAATTATTTTCCCCAGTGTACTTGTCCTGCAAAAAAAAAAAAAAAAAAAAGAAAAAAAAAATTGCTAGGATGGGATGGAAAATATGAAGTTTTTTTCTTTTTAAATAGAAGGCAGAGATGCTTTTAGGAATGTCTGGGGCATTTAAAAAAAGAAAGGGGCTTTATGGCGACTTAAACGTTTATGTTTTTAATATTGTAAGCTGTAACGAGCAGGGCTGTCTGTTTCATCTTGTACAAAATTGTATCTGTAATGTCTACCTTCATTTTCTAAAGCACTGTGCAAACTGTTGGATATATAAATCCTGTATAATAAAAATATTATTAACATTGCGCTGTATCTCTCCTCCTCCCCTCCCTGCCTGACTCCAGCACCACACCCGGGGACTAGCAGGGAGGGGAGAGACCTTGCAGTGTAATGAGCACTGATTGGGTACTGGTCAGGAAAGGGGAGTGTTGGGCTCTCTTAACACCCAGCAGAAGTGCATCTGCTGAGCAAGTAAATGAGGCCCCGACCCCAATGAAAAGTAGGTGCTCAGTACAAGCGCATGCTGAGCGGCCAATTCAAGCTCCAATGTCCACTTCACTAAAGAAGGAGTTCCTACTTACAAAAAAATAAAATCTATAATGCACTTTTTTTTTGGTAGGAAAAAAAAAAAAAAATTATATAAATAATTTTTTTTTTTTTTTTTTCTTGTTAGGAGCCTGTAAAGCATTGCACCCACAACCAGGAGATCACAGGGGTAAGTCCTGCAGCTGTTTGCAGATACCGCCGATACAGACAGGCAGTTACACTCTGAAAGGAAGAATCAGTGAACTACCTAAAGAGGTCAACAGCGCCGTGGTAGTTGAGAACAAGCCAGCAGCTACAAAGGCTGTTGGTACTTGTAATTTTCACAGTCCTAGAACTCTGAAGCTTCACATGGCTTATTTTCAGATTGTGAAAGCCAGCGGAGGGAGAAGATCCCCCACTATCTGTCCAAACAGGGACTTGGAGGAAGCGAAGGCGGATGCATCTGTAATATGTTACACCCTGAATATGTGGGACGATGACGCTTCACCTCCCGCTGCTTTTAAAAGTGATCCAGTGACTAGTTAGCCACTCGGATTGCTGTTACAAGAGAGCCAAAACGTTGGCTTAGTACATGGGGGGGGGGGGGGGGGGGGGGGGGGAAGGTGTCGGGCGATAGGATTTGGCTGAAAATTACCTGGCATCCATTGACGACAGACTGGAAGCCAGAACCACACAGTCTGTTGACCGTTAGAGCCGGAACAGGAATGGGGATGCCGACACGGAGTCCTATGTGCCTGGTAAGGTAGATGGCGTCGCTGGAAGTCTGCAACAATAAATACAGGTTCAGGTTAATGGTGGACTTTCAAGAACGCAGGGAAACACTTCTGTACACCTACTACAGCCAGAACTAGAGACATGAAAACTATTAACAGCGCATTCATCACACAGAAATAAGAGGGACTATTATTGATTATCTAAACAAGGGGAAAGAATCCTCTAAGCAGGTGTTTTTGTCCCACCGAACTGTGAAGAAGACCTGATGAGAATCAATGACCACAATGTACTGTCTAGGAGGTAAAGTAACTTCCTGCCTACCAAGCTTACCAACTCCCTCCAAAAAAATTGTAGCTGCAGTGCTCACCTTCAGTCTGTCCCCCACAGTACATGTTGTCCAGCACAAGATGTTCTCAGTCTTTGACCCAGTAAATCTTAAACCAGAGGACTGAGAACAGACCAAGTGCACGGTGCCATGGCCCCACTCCCTGAAAAGGCAGCACTACAGCGTCCTGTAGTAGTTTTATATCATTTTTCCACTATACAGTCGCAAAAGTGTGCGGATTTTAGAACGGACAAGGTTGCAAAATGATGAATGTTGGGTTGATGGCATGTGCAGTGATGAAATTGAGGGGCGATTGTAGCCATGTGTGGTGGTAACAGTGAAGGCGCACACAAGTGTTGTCGGGTGAAAATCAGTGTTCAGGTGTATTGGTGGTAAGGGGGGGGAAGAGGAGGCAAGTCTGGTCTGGTGGCGAGATGGAGGTCATGCAGGCACAGCGGCCAGGGCGCAGGAGATGCTCAGGAGCAGTGGCCGGGCGAGTGGGTGGCATGCACAAGTGTTGTGGTCATTGCAAGGTGAAAGGACATGGGTCTGATGCCATGGTACATATACACACAGTATACATTATTTTGCTGTTTTTTATCTAAGCCAATTTTGTTTTTCGTTTAATAGCATTGCAGAACTTCTGTGTTAAATGGACAAATGATACCCCCCCTCTCCACAATTATTGCTGCCCCCTTCTTCCTGCACCCTCATTCTCTTCAGAGATGGTCCATATCATTCAAGCAACAACCCCTGGGCATGTCATCATACAGGCTCGCCTCACAGTACCCCCTGGACTGGCTAGTGTTCATGTGTCATTACATTTCCACACAGTCCAGAAATAAGGAACACACATTTGTTAAGGAATAATATCCCATGGTGTCACTGAACCGGCCTGAAGACTGCAGAAGAAAAAAAACAAAAAAAACCCCAAAACACACGTATGTAGGTTATGTAGCCTAAAAAAAATACATATTTCCATGCAAAAAAAAGCGGTACATTTTTTTGCATGGAAATATGTATTTTTTTTTTATTGTAGGCCTGTAATGTTTAGGAATAACGCACTGAAATCTGTCCGAACAAGAGTCTAGTAAACATCCCGGGGATGATAAAATTTGAAACACGAAATCATAAATTATAAATTTATTAAATAATCATAAAAAAAATAAATATAATAAATGTAATTGAATAATATAATCAAACCAAAAACACTGAAATTTGAAATATAGCGCCAAGTTCGCACATCACTGAGCAAAGTCGCAAAATCGTTGTCAGTGTCTGATGATGAATTTCCCCCACGAATTATCACTCAATTCTGCAAGTGGTTCTGATTTACTATCGCTGTTCTCTAGCCGGTCTAAAACCGCTTTTGACCTAAAAGGGATGCTTTTTGGATGCCATGGACATTTCTCAGTTTCCAGGCAGAAAGAACAGTAAAAATGCAGACAGGGGGCCGGACAAAGCACTCGGGACAATGTATGTGAAATGGTTTGATACAGTAATGTTTTACTATGCGATTTTAGTGTATTTAGTGAACGTCAATTTAAAATTTTCAAATGTCCCACCAGTTCCGTCCCCCGTACGTCCCGACGTCGCAGGAAACGGAACCTGGAAGGCAGATGCCGGCATCGGCTGGAGGACATTACAGGGGACACTGCAGGGGGGGGGCATCGCAGGAGCGCAGGACAAGGTAAGTGCAGAGGAGATCCGGGAGCAGCGCTGCAGTGTATTCCTGAGTGTAGCTCGGGGTTACCGCTTTTGGTGCTGAAACTTTACCCCGAGCTACACTCAGGAATACCGCCAGGAGGGGTTAAGAGGGATTCAAGTGGTGTTCGGGGGGTCCAGGGATGTGGTTTTACTTTAAAGTGCATGAACAACAACAACTTTTTTCTTTAATAAAAAAGTTTTAAATATAGAATGGGGAAGAGACAAAACCCATGTTAGACTATATTATTAATATTTGCCCATCTGTATACCATTGAGGAATTTTCCCTTCACTTCTGTCGCCACAGACAACAGGACCTTAGGGGGACATGACAAAGTGAGAAGAATTTCCCCCTCTTAGTAGCCCCCCCCCAATGGACAATTTCTCCTCTCCTATTCTACAACAGACAACTCTAATGGACTAACCCCCCCCCCCAACAGACCAGGGCAGATGGGTCCATAAACACTACATTCTTTCATACCTGAGCAACATTTCCAAAGATCACACTATCTACGGCATCAGGGGCCACATTGCCTGCTGCAAGGGCGGCTTTTGCTGCGATCTCTCCCAAGTCTGTCGCGGTGTGATCTTTTAGAACTCCCCCAAAGGTACCAAATGGGGTTCTCTTAGCAGCAACAATAAAAACACCTACAAAACAAAAACAGAATATAATAAAATCTATAAACATGACACTATATATTACAATCTCAGATGTTCCAACATGGTTTGGGTGCAGTGTTGCATGACTGCGCAATTGTCAGCTAAAGTAACGCAGCGCTGTATTGCAAAAAATAGCCTGGTCAGGAAAGGGAGGATCCTCTGGAGGGCAAGTGGTTAAACTTAAACATCATGCACACAGATGCATATGGCGTCCCTAATGGAGCTGAACCTCGAGCATCAGTGCTGCAAGCCACAGTGTTAGTTATCAACCTCAAAATTCTTTTAATTTCAGCTCGTCCATTCTCAAGGTCTGTTCATGGAATCCGTGTGCGTTGATCCGTGTGCGTTGATCCGTGTGCGTTGATCCGTGTGCGTTGATCCGTGTGCGTTGATTGCATTGTTGCAATGCAGAGTCATTCATTGGGAACGGCACCCTACCGAACCTGCTAATGGACGCGCTTTGCAATGGTGTGGCACACTGTCAAACAACAGTGTATGCATGCAGTGCAACACACATTACTAAGCTGCACTGCATATTTGTCACAAGGGTATAGGGGGTCAAATTCATACTGACACGCTGCAGTGGTCACTAAAACAGGAAGACAGGACAGTCTCCCCAATGGAGACACATTTAGCATAAAAATATGGGGAGCCCTTTAATGACCTTTTATGAACATGAAGGAACACCATCTACTATACCAGCAGCCTCCATAGTTAATCAGTATTCAGATTAGGAAAGTCCCAGAAGAGTCCTGATCTGTACACTTTTTCAAGGTCAGCAATACAAAGTCCTAATGTAAGGCAATAGGCATGACTAGCAGGCAATGTGTAAAGGAGAGGTCAGCCATGACACAGCTTACTCACATCACCTCCACATTTACAGACCAGTGAAGGGCGAGCGCCTCTGTCAGGTATTTGTTATGGTCTGTCCACCCATTGTGGAGATTCGCTGCACTTCCTGTGACTGAGGCAGGAGGAAATCTCCCCAGAGGGGACACAGACCGCACTACTCACCTGACAGAGGTTCTCCGCCTTCCCAGCTCCATCCACCAGAACCACAGCAGCCAGCAACAGCATCCCTAATTCCGGTCACTCCAGTGCTGGAGTGCCAACAGAACCAGTACACCCAGCAACAGTGTCCCTGATCACCACCACACCAGTACAGTGTCACCATAACCAGTGCAGCCAGCAACAGAGTCCCTGATCACTGCCACACCAGTACAGTATCACCATAACCAGTGCAGCCAGCAACAGTGTCCCTGATCACCACCACACCAGTACAGTGTCACCATAACCAGTGCAGCCAGCAACAGTGTTCCTGATCATCGCCACACCAGTACAATGTCACCAGAGTCAGTGCACCCAGCAACAGTGTTCCTGACCACTACCACACCAGTACAGTGTCACCAGTGCAGCCAGCAACAGTGTTCCTGATCATCACCGCCACACCAGTACAGTGTCAGCAGCTCAGCCAGCAACAGTGTTCCTGAACATCACCGCCACACCAGTACAGTGTCACCAGTGCAGCCAGCAACAGTGTTCCTGATCACCGCCACACCAGTACAATGTCACCAGAGTCAGTGCACCCAGCAACAGTGTTCCTGACCACTGCCACACCAGTACAGTGTCACCAGTCCAGCCAGCAACAGTGTTCCTGATCACCGCCACACCAGTACAGTGTCACCAGTCTAGCCAGCAACAGTGTTCCTGATCACCACCACACCAGTACAGGGTCACCAGAAGTAAAAAATATGGGGGGGGGGGGGGGGGGGGGATTTACTAGAGGTACTTTCACACACATATGCATTTTTTGCTGTGACTTTTCTGTGTTCCTGATGTGTTTGTTGCGTTTTCTTTTGGGTGTGTAAAACGGACAAGTGACTCAAAAACGCAGTGCACTGTTTTACTCGTTTCAATGGGGAGCTGCATTTTTTCAAAACCGCTCCAAAGATGCAGCACGCAGAACTTTTCAAAATTCACCGCACCCACAGCGCAATGGTGTGAGGAGTCGCAAAGGATTTAAAGGGAAATATTTTTAAAAACACAGAAAAAAAAAAAAAAAAAAATCATGTGAAAGGGCCCTTAGTGCCTGGTTCACACTGCAATTTGTATTGCCCGAAACATGTAATTATTATTCAGGATTTATATAGCGCCAACAGTTTTCTCAGCGCTTTACAATATAAAGGGAGACAATACAGCAACAATACAGTTCAATACAAGAGGGATAGGAGGGCCCTGATCCTGGGAGCTTACAATCTAGTTCCGGGCAGCTAGTTTTTTCTGAAGCCTTTACCCCGGCTTGTAGGTAAGCAGCAGGGCTCACCTGTCAGGTGGAAGCATTCAGGCAGCAGAGCCCACAGTGCCAGCCTCCCCCTCCACCCTGCGTGCCTCTGTCTTGCCGGTTTTGGTTAAAACATTTTTTTTTTCTATCAGAACAAATATATTGTTATGAGGGACAAGTAGATTGGGACCCCGATTTAGTCCCTGGGCAAGCAGTTTTTAAAAAAAAATGTCAACACCCCCGACATCGCATGTGATTTGCACAGGAACCACACTGCATTCTGCACAAATCAAATGCAATTTCTGCGCGGTGCTCAAATCGCAGAGCATTTACACCGAAGCCGTGCAGGACCCTTTATTTTTTTTTTGGGGGCAGCACCAGAATCAGATTGCATGGGGGTTTACATCGCATTTCTAGAAACCAATTTTGGGGTGTTAACATACACCCACAGCAGTTCGCATGAACGGGGTGCGATTCTGATGCAGTGTGAGAATCGCACAGAAACCTGGGAAAATCCCGCACTGCATCAGTGTGAATTGGCACTCCAATCTGGTGCAGCTGTGCCTGGAAGCCAATCAGATTCTAGCTTCAGCTTGCTCAATTAAGATTTGACAATAAAACCTGGAAGCTGATTGGTTTCTCTGCAGAGCTGCACCAGATTTTGAATCATGCAGTTTTAGTAAATAACCCCATAGAGTGTGGCCCCTCAGTGCACGTGTGTTGTCAGGAGCGGGCGGGGCCCCCAGGCTGAAGGTGACCCCACAATCCATATACAAGTGCTACATCCCTCAGTGCACGTGTGTTGTCAGGAGCGGGGCCCCCAGACTGAAGGTGACCCCACAATCCATATACAAGTGTAACGTCATTCCTGTACCGGGGTCACTTCACATAGAGCCCTCCAGAGGGCGTCACACTATAACCTGCTGGCTGTGCAGTCTGTGGGGTGCAGAACAGCCAATGATTGCCTCACACTTTGTACACGACAGTGGCATCAGGTTACTATGGCAACAATTAATTTCCATGCCTATTTTTAAGATCTCAATCCCAAATTTCGGGTTGCCCCCAGAAAAGTAATAAAGGGGAAATCTTCCAATGGGGTACACAAGTTCTGGTGACCTGAGGATCCCCACGGAATTCCCTTAACCCCTCGCCTACCGGACACTTTCACCCCCTTCCTGCCCAGGCCAATTTTCAGTTTTCTGCGCTGCTGCACTTTGAATGACAATTGTGCGGTCATGCAACACTGGACACATGAAATTTTCATCTTTTTGGTTTTTTTTTGCACAAATAAAGCTGTCTTTTGATGGTATTTAATCACCACTGGGGGGTTTGCTAAACAAATGAAAAAAAAGACTAAATATTTTTGGATAAAATTTAGCAAATAAGTCATTTTTTTCTCCTTCACTGATGGGCACTGAAGAAGCTGCACTGAAGAGGCCGCACTGATGGAAACCAAAGGGGCCGCACTGATGGAAACCAAAGGGGCCGCACTGATGGAAACCAAAGGGGCCGCACTGGGAAACCAAAGGGCCGCACTGATGGAAACCAAAGGGGCCGCACTGAGGGGCCGCACTGATAATTAGTACCCGGATTATCAGTGTAAATGTCCCGTCAGAATTGCTGGTTACCGGCTCTCCTCTGCCCGCTGGAGGAAAGGACTGCTGGTAACTGACAAGTCTGTTTACAATGTGATCAGCTGTGATTGGCCCATGACCTGAAGTATCACAGAGCGCTCCGGATGAGTGCCCCCAGGGGGCGGGGTTATGGGAAGACACCCTCCCAGAACAGGGCGACCATGCTGCAGCCATCTTTTGTCTATAGCACGGTCAAGAAGAGGTTAATTTGCAGGGACTTCCTCTCACTTCCTGTTCTAGCTATGGGGACAGGAAGTGAAGGGAAATCTCCCCAATGGGACACAGATGGTGAAGAATAAACTGACGTGTTATAACCCTCCATTACTCGATCCAAAATGGAAAAGGTTTTGCCTGTAGTCCTACTTGATACACATTGGTGTGACGTCCTCCCTCCTGACCGACACCCCAACACATGCTCAGGGACGTGTCCTGCAGTCCAATGTACACAGATGTAAGGAGGCCGCCATCACATGGCCAATGCGGCAGACTCTTCATCTGCGGTGGACGGCTTTGGCAGCAGCGCCAGCCTGGGGTTAGCAGGCGATCAGGAGGAGATATGTCACCATCCGCACGCCACAATGGACGCAGTGACAGGGCAGCCCCCACATAGGCAGGTGGTAGTGTCCCCACCGGGGAGATTTCTCCTCACACAGGACAGTACAGACCACCGACAGATTTTCCAGCAGAATGTGGAAGGGTTGGAGGCTCTGTCAGGACTGATGGCTGCCTGTGTCCCCATAACGGAGAATTACACTCACTTCCTGTCCCGGTGACACCTTGTCTGGCTTCACGTGTTGACAGCAGCGTGCATAGCCCCTAGTGGTCATATACAGGGGCGCAAGTCCTACAATTTGGAATCAGGTAATGACCAATCACATTTCATTTCTGATCGGACTACAGCAACATGAGATGTGATTGGATCGCCATGTGCCGCCATTCCAGTGCAGTGAAGTACAACACACGGCGCACGTTGTGGGAGAGGAGCTACTTGTGCTTCGCCATGTCCCCGGCCTCACCTCTGAGCAGAGCCATGTGTAGTCTGCGTTCAGCTGTCACCGGATAAGGTCACTCCTCACTGGGCCTGATCCCCTTCACCGCCTCATTATCAGGGTC